CTATTTTGCTGTTCGACCAGAGAAATCAGCTTTGCTCATGACAGATCTGAGGGGGAATTCAGTGAGGACATTGATGGTGTGACCCTGAAAGTAATGTTGCAGCTTCCTTGGGGTGATGAGTAGTGCGTAAGCTAGCTTCTCTAAGGGTAGGTATCGTGTCTTGGCATCTAGTAGAGTCTTGCTAACGTAATATACTGGCCTTTGTTCCTTTTCAACTTCCCGAATCAGTACTGCACTTACGGCGTGATATAAGACTGCCAGATATAGGTACAGTTCTTTCCCTCATCTAGTTCTAGAGTGGACAAGAGAGGTGGTGTACTGAGATATTTCTTGAGGGCTTGCAATGCTTTGGTACATTCAAGACCCCATTCGAATGTAGCCTTTCTCCTTTGTAGCTCAAAGAAGGGCCTCATCCAATCTGAAGACTTGCTGATAAATCGATTCAGGGCGGCTGTCATTCCAGCCAGCTTCTATAGCTCTTTAGCCTTTATTGGCACTTCGAGCTCTTGTATTGCTTTGATTTGATTCGGATTTGCCTCGATTCCTCTGTGAGTCACCATGTACCCTAAGAACTTCCATGTTCCTACCCCGAAAGTGTATTTCGAAGCATTAAGGCAAAGCTAATGGTTTTTCAGGATGTTAAAAACTTCTCTCAGGTCTATAAGGTGGTTTGTAGCGAGCTTGTTTTACACTACCATATCATCTATGTAAGCTTCCATGGTTCTTCCGAGCTGATCCTTGAACATTCAAGTGATCATTCACTGATAGGTTGCCCCGGCATTCTTAAGGCCGAATGGCATTACTTTGTAACAATAGGTGCCTCTTGGAGTAATAAATGTTGTTTTCTCTTGATCTGGGCCAAACAGTGGTATTTGGTGATAGCCGTTATAAGCGTCCAAAAAGCTCATACGCTCATGTCCCGCTGTCGAGTCTACTAGTTGATCAATACGAGGTAGAGAAAAGCTGTCCTTGGGACAAGCTTTGTTAAGGCAGGTGAAGTCAACATAGACTCTCCATTTTCCGTTCTTCTTTTTGACTACAACTGTGTTGGACAGCCATTGTGGGTACTGAACTTCTCAAATCACCCCCGATGCTAGAAGCTTGTCGACCTTGGCAATTACTGCTTTGGTGTGCTCAACTGAGGATCTTTGACTTTTCTGCACAATGGGCTGAGCAGAAGGGTTGATGTTGAGTTTATGGCAAGCAAAATCTAGACTTAACCTTGGAGTATCATACGCTGACCATGCGAATACCTTCATATTTTTCCTCAGCAAATCCAACAGTTGAAGTTTCTCATCTGCGCCTAGCGAGGTACCGATAAGGAAATACTTTTCTGGGTCATCTTCCTTTACTAGGACTTTCTCCAAATCCTCTACTATCTATTCCGTTGGTGTTCCTCTGACATCCTCCAAGACCAGTTATTCAGCTACTTCAACTGTCTGTACCCGATTGCAGAGTTGTTTAGCCTTCATAGCTGCCATGAAGCAATGTTTTGATGTAACTTGGTCCCCTGAGATCGGTTCTACTCCGTGTTCTATTGTGAAGCGGATGAGCTGGTGGTAGGTTGAGGGAACTGCTTCCATTTGATGAATCCAAGGACGACCTAGAATGGCATTGTAAGGAGAAGGTGTATTAATAACTAAAAATTCTATCTGCAGGGTTTTTTTCCCAGCGACAACTGGCAATACTATCTTGCCAAGTGGCCATTCAAGCTGTGAATTAAAGCCGACCAATAGAGCTGCCACCGGGGTGAGGTGCTGCTCAGATAGACCGAGCTTCCTGAACAAGTCGTAATACAATATATCTGCTGCACTGCCCTGATCTACCAGGACTCGTTTTACGTCAAATCGTTTCCCAATTCCCATAGTTATAATCAATGCATCAGTATGTGGGTGTTGAATATGTTTTAAATCCTTTATAGTAAATGAAACAGTGCATAAGGGGGGCTTAGGTACTGTTCATACCTTTTTCGACGCAAGCCCTACTAATATGACTTGTTGAATCTGCACAGCTTTGGCAATTTCTTCTTGAAGTACCTCCTCACGCTCGTGGCTGGTCGTTCCATGGATTAAATTTATTACCAACTGAGGAGGATGCTCAATGTTCGGTTCCAGTAGAGGGTTCCCTTGTTCGACCATCACCTTATCCTGATCAATGTAGTCTCGGAAGTGTCCAACACTACCCAATCTTCTAGGTGTTGCTTCAATGCTCTGCAATTTTGAGTCATATGCCCCCTGTCTTGGTGATAGGTGCATCTGAGCTTCTGATTGCACTGAGCCGGATCTCCCAACATTTTTGGCAGCCAAGTAAAGAATGGCTCTCTCTTGATCTTTTCCATAATACGATAGATTGGTTCCTTGAATACGGTCACAACTGTTTCATGGGATTTAGACTTGTTTACTTCATTCATCGTGACTCCTCGGTGTTCCCCTCGGTCTGCTCTTTTTTTGTGCCGAGCTGTTTGTTTAGTTGATGCTACCTCTATGGGGATCTGATCATCTTCGAGGCAAGCATACCGCTCAATCCTGGCATGCAATTCCTTCAGTGCTGTGGCTGGGCGCTTGGTAAGTGACTGTCTCAGCTTACTTTCTGGATGCAGATCGTGTTTAAAAGACATTACAGCCATCTGTTCACTACAAACGTTTTCTTCCAGATCATTATACTCCTTCCAATACCTTCTAGCATAATTATACAGCGTTTCCTCCTGTTCCTTTCAGAGACCGAACAGTGTATTTGGTTCTTTTGGGATCTTAGTATTGGAGACGAATTTGGCCAAGAACTCTTCAGAGAGCTCTTCCAATCGTAAATCAATCCAGCGAGGAGACGATCGAACCATCGAAGTTTGGATTCTCTTAAGTTGGACGGAAAGACTTTGCACATCAGTGCCTCATCTCGGCTCTATAAGGACATCATCTGCCGATAATGGTTGATATGTGTCAGTGGGCCTGACTTCCCATCGTATGACATGATCTTTGATGGAGTGAATTTCTTGGGGGGTCTCATGGCTTCGATTTCTAGGGAGAATGGAGAGCAGATGAGTCGATCCAATGCTCGGTGCTCTCTTTGATGGATAGTACGGTCAAGATGATCCCGTCATTGCTCATTTTGTCTGTTGCCAATTAGCCAAGTACGGAGATCCTGAGGAGGATATTTTGTCTATTGGCTATCTATTTTTTTCCTTTTAGCCTTTCTCTAGCGTGAACCACGGGTGTGGCTGCTCGCTGCTTTCTAGGGAGAATGGAGAGCAGATGAGTCGATCCAATGCTCGGTGCTCTCTTTGATGGATAGTACGGTCAAGATGATCCCGTCATTGCTCATTTTGTCTGTTGCCAATTAGCCAAGTACGGAGATCCTGAGGAGGATATTTTGTCTATTGGCTATCTACTTTTTTCCTTTTAGCCTTTCTCTAGCGTGAACCACGGGTGTAGCTGCTCGCTGCCTCATTTTGTATCGGGATTGGCTGGCTTTGCTGCCTAGATTCATTTCTAGAGACCTTCTTAACTGGTGGTTCACGAGATGGGCTCCTCTGTCGCAGGTGAAAGAGCTGTGCGTCGATCCTCTTCTCCGTCGGGTCGCCCATCACCCTTTTAAGTTGTGCTTTCAATTCCTGTATCTCCATTCCCATGGAATCAGTGATTCGATCCCTGTAATCCTTTTATAGTAGAAAATGATGAGAAGAACCTCCAGCGAAGGGCAGTCGATGCTTAACAGATTCGAGAGTCCGGTTGTTGTTTCCTGTCTGTTCTTCCAGGACTATTGGGAGTGCCAAGCCTTTATCCTTTGTCTTCTCCATTTGTGGAGTCAATGCCAAGGGTGGAATGTTTTCAATCCCCATCGCCGGAATCAAGTGCAGAACTCAGAGACGAAGACGTCCACGTTCACCGCACCAATTGTGCGTACCAAATACCGCACTAGATGATTGTGGATCAGAGCTCCGCACTTGATTGGACTATCCAGGAATTGAGACCCTGCAGCAATGAGCACCGTTAGAGCTGCCCGGCCGGGGTTGGCCAGATAACCCCTTCAGTGTAAGAGTGAGTGATCAGAGAAGATGAGAGGTACTCTCTAAGTGTAGAGAGTTATGTTTTAAGTGAGTATGGTTCTGCTTAGATCAATTACCTTTAGTGTGAAGTAAGTGTAGTTTATATAGAACTCCTTGCTTGTTGCCCAAGATGGTTTCATGGAGCTTTTGGTGCTGCAAAGTTTCCTTTAGCATTGCTCAAGGTGGGGGACCATCTGATAGTTAACAAGGGGTGTATACTCATTGTAACCATGCTTGTAACATGTCACATTCCCTTGATCAACTGTTTCTGTGATTCTAGGGAAAGGGGACCAGCTGAGGTGGCATCCTCCACGTGCATGCATTCACAGCTTCCACGTTTCTTTGTTAGGTTCTTTTAGCTCGGTACCGTCGTGCCTCGCCTCGGCACTCTATGAGATTACTTGTAGCGATGGGCTAGTCCAGTAGGATATCTTTGAATGGGCTCGGCCCCTTTTTGGTTCGGTCCAAGGATCAGGTACCGCAACTTGGCCCAGCCCAGCATCGTGGCTGGATTACCCTTTCCATTACGAGTTGGGCCAAAGTGCTTGAGGACTTGGGTGGATTGTTGATGATGTAATTGGGATAACCTGACTGGCCCACTTGTTTACCCTGCTCTTCAGGACTTGAGTCTAATGGATTGGGCTGTCCCAAGGCTTGGATCCGATCCATTTTATATTTAGTCCCTTCAAGTTTGACATAATATTTTCTCCTCTTCTCTATTCTTTTAAGTTCAGGATGGGCAATACAATACCTTTTCTAATAATAAAATTTGTCATTACAAATGAAAATTATGTGTTTATTTTGTTTTTTTTGTGTCGTCTGGAGTTATAACCTTTTCACTTTCTGGCTTTGTTTAATCCTATATATAAATTTATGAACTTTAATGTTTCAAAGTTTCTAACTAAAATAAAATGGTTTGCTACGGTGTTGATGTTGCAACTTTATTTTCCTACAACAGACTGAGTAAACATAACAAAAAAGAGGTTCTTGAGAAGGCTGAAAAAGATCTGGTAGCTGTGACAGATCAATATGTGGCCTGGCTAGTAAAAGAACTTGAGGGGACTGATTTTCGAAAGCTAAGACGAGCATACTCTCCCGGGGTTCTGCCTTTGTGCCTTTCTTACTTGCTAGGGCTATGAAAAAGATGCCAAAGTTGAATCATTTTGGGCCTTTGTATATTTACAAGTACAGCAGTATGTTGAAGCAGTGACACTTTGCAAATTCTGCAAAACTGGGACTCTTTTGAATCTTGGTGAGATTAATGGAATCCTCTTACCATTGAGTGATCCTTCTCTGGACCCATTGCAGATTAATGTCCTTGACTATCTCTTGGGGGTAATTTCCTCAATCTTGTGCCTTTTAATTATTTTTGTTATTCAAATCAAAATAGGAGAAGTGGTAATATCCATTCTTTGAATATAATAAATAGCGCTTAGCCATCTATTTGTGCATGAAAGAGCAGAGATTCTTCTTTGATAATAAAAATAAGTCAAATTGACTTATGTATACTATTAAATTATAGTTTTGCACTGTCCCCCTTTTTCCTCCATTTTGATTTACTCTAAGAAGCACGAACATGGACAAGGGACACAACAAATTATGAAAAATTAAGACATGGACATGGAAATTTTATTTATTTATTTATTTATTTACTATCACTACAGGAAAAATGGGTTTAAACAGCGTTTTTTTAACAACGTTTTTTAAAACGTCACTTTTATTAATATTTAATGATGCTTTATAAAAACATCGCATATTCCTTTAATGAAACGACACCGTTTTGGAATAGGAGGCGTTTAAAAACGCCTCCAAATATGTTGTGCCTCACGTGCCTATTTTGAATCTGAGACTTTGTAAACCCTTATTTTGAATCCTCACGCCTCTCTCTTGCTCACCCCCAATTCCTTCTAAACCATTGAGAGCAATTTCGATTCAGAGTTATTTTCTTTGAGATTCATACAGATTCATCAGAGCGATTTCGATTTGAAGCTCTGAAGCTTGAAGCTCTGAAGCTCCAATTTCTCTTTCTCTCTCTCTCTCTCTATATATATATATATATATTCATATTTGCTCTCACTTCTCGTTGCAAACCCATCAAATTTCAATTTTCTCTCTAAGATTTATCAAGATCTACCAAGAATTTGAGAGGACTTTTTACATCGAATTGAAGAAGGCTACGTTTTCATTGATCGAATCGAGTTTTTCTCAACATCCATTTTTAGGGTTTTTCATCCTCTTCCTCTCCAAAGCTTGAGGTAGGGATTCTCTTAGAGTTATATATACATTTTTGCAAGTTTATGTTGATTTTGGAGCTTTCGCTTGTAGTATTGAACCTTGATTTTGGCTCATGAGTTCTTGATAATCTTAAAAGTGGGTTTTCCTCAATGTTTTCTAAAAATTTTTGAGGGTATGAACTATATTGTTAATGGGGGAGTTGCCTTGGGAAAATCCTTTCAAAAGTGAGAAAAAAAAAAAACCTAGTTTTGTGAAAACCCTAGAAATTGGGGTTTTATTTTGGAAAAATGATAAGATGTTATGAAATCTTTGGTTGTCTAGTATCATGATGTATATGTGATTGGGATATTCCTATGATTATGTGTAAGAAGGAAGTTCCATGGAAAGAAAATGAGAAATGGTTAAATTGAAACTTGTTGTATAGCACATTATTGGTTGGTCCTGAAATGACCAAGTGGAAGATAGATATTTAGTTGTGGAGAATACATGAATGTTGAGATTGTTAAGTCACCTTTTAAAGTTATATTATGATGGTTAATTTATGAAAAATACTTGAAGGTTAATATTGTATTACTTTATCTCTTATAATGTATTATGATATTGCATTGATAAGAGATGTGGAATTTGATCACAATAGAGGATTTTGTGGCTGAATCGAGAATTTTCAAGGCATTGATATAGAAATATATAGCATTGGCATTGTTGAAATGTTTAAATGGAACCATATTATTGCATTGGGCATTTGCATATTCATTCCTTTTGTCATTGACATAATTGATTTTGAACATTGCTTGGAAAAAGATACTGTTTTGAGAAAGGAAATTGTTTTGTGAAACAAGATCATATTGATTTGTTTTGGGGTAAATATGTTGGAAAGTCCGGATAGAGGGTGTAGTTGGTATTGGTTAAGTTGGTCTGAGTAAAAGACCGAAAACACGCGCAGAGGAAGTACCATGTGCCTTCCGATTAGCTACCGGTAAAATGGGGATTGGTAGTGCTTATTATACCTACTTGCAGACACCAACTTAGGGATTACCTGAGTCGTATTTACTGCTCCATTGAATTAAATTGAAATTATTAAATTGTCAAATTTTTAAGATTGCATTGTGCACAAAGTTTTCAAAAGAGAAAGAGATATGTTTTTTAACATGGTTTGACATATGCATTCATCCCATGAGATTGTATAAAATGTATATACTTTGTTAAGGTTTTCCTATTGGGCTTTGTGCCACCCCTATGGGATTTTGTGTAGGAAAGGATGTGGTGATCCCGCCAAGTTAGAGACGTGGTGATATGTTTTGAGAGCACAAAGCTCTTTTCTTTTGTTGTAATTACTTTTAACAAACCAAGGGCATATTGTGTATAGGTTTGCAACCACTTTTGTGTAACTGAGCTTAAGTCTTGAAATTTGTAACCCTTGAGGGCATTCATTTGTACTTGACTTGTTATACCACATGCTATAGATTCATATACTAGAGATGTTGAATGTATATTTGCATATGGAATACCTTTTGTAAATCTTTTAATGATTAATTAATACAAATGTTGGAGATTTGTCGATGATGTTAATATTGAAAACTTACTTATGCTTACATTTACCAATGAGAGTTGATGAATCTGTATTGTGTAAATTTTTTGGGCGTGACATATATTAACATCACATACATATGTTATTATTTATAAATACATATAGATACATACATATGTTCAACATTACATGTAGATATTCAAGACAAAAGGTTCAAAAAAAGATTAAGAAAGGAAGAGATATTCAAACATTTATTTATATGTAAATATACCAATTCTCAATGATAGAAAAGAGACAAAGTATAAAATTAACCTCTTCTAAAATTCATGTTACATTAGATTGCTCGATTGTGTAAGATTTTGCCTTCTTCTAAAATACTTCCCATGTTGAATTGGTATATATATTTTAGGGTTTTCAAAATTCTATGATTTTTAATTTTACTTTATATTTTTTATTAGTATTATTTGAAAAGGTTGAGAGGGAGGCAAATATATTGTATATGTTAATGATTTTCCATATTAGTGGGATATTTGAATTTTGAATTTCAAATTTAAAGGATAATTAGAATTTATTTTTTTTTAGTTGGGTTAACCAATAAAAAGTTTTTTAATTATTTAAAAATGCAAATTTCTTAAAAATTCATGTTGAGAACTTAGAGTTTCCACAAGACTTGTTATTAGAAACTC